GAGACCAAGAAATCGCAAATACAATTATAAAAAACATATGAAAATGCACTACAAAGTTGCTGTTTTAATCAAAAAATCATGATTTCAGTTTTTTTCTCTCATTATACACAGTGTGCTGCAGGATCTGTTTTATGTGGTGCACACATACCACATAGATGTATTCTCTCATATCTAGGCCCAAATGTACCACTCACAGTTTATCAGAGTGAGCTGAGCTCATGGCGTAGATCTACGGTTTGGACACTCACCATAAAGCCGTAGATCTACGGGACGGACCCTGAAAGGGTTAATATTGTTAGCGAGGTCCTTGATTGTGGTGGTAGTGGTAGTAGTCATGCTTAGCTCACTCTTCATAAACATGCTGTTGGAGGATAAAGAAAGTAACATTTATGAGAGGATTCAGGAAAAATTGGTTAGCCAGACTGAATCCTGGAGGTGGGAAGTACAGTGTGTGGCCTGGTGGCTAAAGCTCTCGCTTCACACAGCGAAGGTCTGGGTTCAATTCCCAGCAAGGGTAGAAACATTGGGCGTGTTTCTTTAAACCGGTTGTCTATGTTCCCCATCAGTAAAATAGGTACCTGGGAGTTAGTTGACTGGTGTGAGTCACATCCTGGGACAAAACTGACCTAATTTTCCTGAAATGCTCTGCATAACAAGTGCCTTTCTATATAGTAGTATGTCATTGATGTCAGCTAGGCCTGTACACCTTGTACATGTATGTACCTGTAGAAATAAAGATACAGTGGTACTCCGGCTTTCGCACGCCCCAGTTATCAGATGTTTTGGCTTTAAGACAGTTTTTGTGTGAAATTTTGTTTCGGATATCGGACCTTGCTCAGGTAATTGGACGTATTATACACATCCGCCCGCCCACCCGGCTGCCCAGGGGATGCCACCACTGCACCTCTTAGTCTGCCTCTGTCACTGGTTGAGTGAGCATTACTTCGTGCATTCCAAAACATTTCGCAACAATCCCTTGTTTTTTGGTGCTTGTTTTTTAATTGTGACTGCAAAATAAGCCAGCATGGGCCCAAAGAAAGTTTCTAGTGCCAGCCCTTTGATAAAGGAGAGAACACGATAGAAATAAAGAGTTCATAGAAAAATACGAGAGTGGCGTGCGTTTAGCCGACCTTGCCAGGATGTATGGGAAGTCGAAATCAATAATCTTCTCTATCCTGGCAAAGAAAGTAGAAATCATGGAAGCTAAAATTGTGAAAGGGGTGAATGTGCTAATGAAACAGATCACAAACAGTGGAAGATACGGAGTTGGTGTGGATCAATGAAAAACAGTTAGCAGCAGATAGTGTTGCGGAGTCGATCATTTGTGAAAAGGCAAGGCATTTAAATGTGGATCTCGTTAAGAAAATGCCTGAAACGAGTGCTGCTGTTAGTGATTTTCAGGCCAGCAGAGGCTGGTTCAACATTTTCAAGAAGCATAGTGGCATACACAGTGTTGTAAGGCATGGCAAGGCTGCAAGTTCAGACAAACGTGCGACTGAAAAATTCGTGCATGAATTCAAAGGGTATGTAGAGGCTGAAGAGGACCTACATCACGCAGGAGGAAAAGGCACTGCCAGGACACAAGCCTATGAAAGAGAGGCTAACTCTCTTGTTCTGTGCTAATGCTAATGGGGATTTCAAAGTGAAGCCTTTACTAGTGTATCACTCTGAAAATTCCAGAGTGTTCAAGAAAAACAATGTCTTCAAGAGTAAATTGTGTGTGATGTGGAAAACTAATAATAAAGCATGGGTCACGAGGCAAATTCTCAAAGAGTGGGTCCATGATGTGTTTGACCCGAGTGTGAAAAAATACCTTCTGGAAAAGAAATTGCCACTCAAGTGCCTCTTGGTACTGGACAGTATTCCTGCTCATCCTCCAGACTTGGAAGACCAATTGTTTAGGGACTTCAGTTTTATAACGGTGAAGTTCTTGCCTCCCAACACCACTCCTCTCATCTAGCCCATGGACCAGGAGGTCATTTCTAACTTTAAAAACTCTTCACCAAAGCAGTGTTTCAAAGGTGCTTTGAAGTGACCTTGGAAATTGAATTGACCCTAAGAGAGTTCTGGAGGGATAACTTCAATATCCTCCATTGCATCTTCTTCTTGTTTGTCCGTCAATTTGACGAGGACCATCTAGTCATCCTGGGGTCGAAGTTGGTGGGTACGCAGATGACTTGTCAGGCCAATCCATGCACGAAACGTTCTCTGGCAGTGTGGACAGGGAAGGGTGGCGGCATCGAGGGGTCTGATGGCTCTGGTCTTCCTCGCCTGCCTGCGCTGCTCAGCTAGTGAGATTTTGCTTGCCTCGCAGGATGTTGCCCCTTTCTGGACAACTGCTCGCCAGTCATTCCTGTCCTGAGCTATCAGCTCCCACATGGTGTGGTTGATGTTGAAAGCTTTCAGAGCAGTCTTAAGGGTGTCCTTGTAGCGCTTCTTTTGGCCTCCTTGAGAGCGCTTTCCATGCTGCAGTTTGCCAAACAAGAGTTTCTTTGGCAGC